TGACTGGCCAACACATTCTCACTCGGACCTCGTCACATATCGACGTTTGGTCATGGACTTTCTACGTCCAGATTCGCCATGCAAGATACCCTGGGTGCGTTGGTTTTTGACGTTCTGGGACACTGTGTCAAGCTCGTCGGTACAACACTGCGAATTTACGGGTTTTTTTTGTTCAACAACAGACAGATGTGGTTGGATTTAGGCAACAAAAACACGTGGTAAGATTTAGGAAAAAAGAACAGGGTTTGGCTTTATAATCTCACAGGACAGAGACACCGCTCTCCCGGGTGAAAGTTGGTGTTTACTGGACCCATCCACCACTGTCTGTCTATACAGACACAGTTTCGGTGCTGTTACTACTCCTGACAGATTAAATGTGAGACCACTCTGTCCCCTCCATTCCATGATTCTACCTTCTATCAACCTTATTTTTCACGGAAACATGGAGGCAAAACAGAACACAGCCAGCTTCCGTTTTTTTGTGCGACACTTCCGGTCCAGCACACAACTCAGTCAATTAAAACAACCCGTCCTGTGTTGGGAGTGTATGTCGCTGACAGAAAGAAAGAAAAGGAAAACAAAGATAGAAAGGCAGCGTACACCTCACATATTTATTTCTAACAGTTGCGCACATTTTCGGCTGGCATGCAGAAGCACCGTCTGTGTGTCTGTGTGTCGGGTGCGAGCCGCAGCTTCAGCTGCTCAGGTAGAGAGGCTGTGTAGCCCGGTGTGTTTTTTCGCTGATTCGGTTCTGCAGGTTCTCTGCTGGTACACTGGAGATGGGGATCAAGCAGTTTGTCTCACTCGGGATAGATTGTGCTTTTTTGGTTCATAGTTTATGATTGACGTGCGATTTATTCGCGTTTAGAGGGAATAAATTTCCGTTATAACGGAAACGTGGGCACAGTTATCTATACAAAATACACAGACTAACTAACTAACTGATTGACTAACATAAACAACTGAAAATTGAAAAAAATTAGCTTGCACCATTAGCTCCGGTAAGGGAAAGCATGAGGGAAAGCGGCTGACCGGAAGTCACGCACAAAAAAACGGAAGTTGATCACTATTTACTTCCGTGTTTGAAAATAAGGTGGATATATGTATTTAAAAAGACAAAACACAAAACAATAATTCAGAAAGTAATGACAGGAGTATCTGGGGCAGAGTATGTGAGCGGAGCGGAGCGCGGAGCGGGAGGATTTTGTGTTGAGCGAGGAGTGGCTATTTTTTTAAAAGGTGGAGCGGAGCCTTATCTCTTGCTCCAATTTCGCTCCGGTCACTCATGCCCCATCCAGAATACATCTTTGCACCTGCGCACACCCACACTATTTTCTTTCAAAACTATGGAGTTTACTGTGTACTTCAGAAAAGAAACTGAGAAGAGAAGCAGCGGTACCTTGGAGAACGGTCCCTAACTGCGGGGAGAGGCGAGAGGGCTTCGGAGGTCGGCCGCTTAACCTGGTCCATCTCCTCCACACTTTGACTATTTCCACCCTGCCAGTGGTACTGTGTAGAACGGTCCCTAACTGCGGGGAGAGGGCTTCCCCGGAGAATCTACCAAGCTCATGTTTTATTGGTGCCGTAGTATTGTTCCGACCTCTCATTGTTCCGACATCTCATTGTTCAGACGTCCCGTTGTTCCGATATGTGATTATTACTGTATTTGTGTACCATAGAGGATCAGCAACGCAACAAAAGTAGACTACTGGTCGAGATACAAGTGTCATAGAGAGGAGAGAATGAAACACCATAACCTCCTGTTATTAACTCTGGGGTCGGGGTTGTGTGGGGAGCTCTCCGCGGTGCTGAACGGCTCCCGACGGGCGTATTTCTGCCTTGATGGTAAAGCTGGGAAAGGCTTGAGGCGGAGCAGGCTCACAGCTTATGTTTGCCACTTTCTTTTTCATTTTAACCCACACCATGATTTTTTCCTGACCCTAACCAAGTAGTTTTTGTGCCTAAACCTAAAAAGACCTTAACCACAGGGCATCAAAAACAATGGGTTTAATATGGTCGGAACAGTGGGCTGTCGGAAAAATGGGCAGACCCCGTTTTATTTGTGAATAGAAGATTACAGGTTAGGGTAGTACGACGCAGTTGTTCTGAGCGGAGTGGCGAGCGAGTGGAGCGGGATAAAATTTATGCGAAGCGAAGAATGCGTAGAACCAAGCGGAGCGGACGAGCGGCGCAAAGTGACAGGTCTGCGAGCGAGGAGCGGAAATTTTCACCCGCTCCGCTCCGCTCACATGCTCTGATCTGGGGACCTCTGTACATGCTGCTTATATATTAAGGACACATGAGCATAACACACCAGGCAGAGGCAGAAATAGAATTAAAGAACTCTTTTAATAAGCCACTGTGGAAGTCCAATAGACAGTGCAGATTATGCAAGCCAAAAGTACAGAATCCCAGAGTTAAAAAAAACAACAACAGCAAAACAAGGCAGACAATCTTAATCAACAGACTTGCAGATAATCATATGTAAACCACTGTGACTGACTGGTAAACACTGACTCACAGGAGTATATAACATCAAACTATTTGGCAGGATCAGAAATCACCACCACCACAAGAGAGGTGCTGATTAGGTAAAGATGGGGCGGAACATGTGGGTAGCTGTAAACAGATCTGGGCCAATGCAGCGGAGGGGGTTAGGTGTGCTACATTGGATCTGAACACACAAACCTAGAAAAGAAAACACACTTGCGGTGTGGGTGTGGTCTAAGCAAAAGGGCCGGAGGTAGGGGGGTAAGAACTGTTGAAGTGGGTATTAGATTCCCCTCTTTATGAAGGCTGAGTTTGAAGATGGATGTGGTCCAAGCAAGGGTTAAGTAAGGAAAGTAGCATTAGCCCCCCACCCACTTTCCACCCATGGCCAGCAATCGCTTACGGTCGCGGATTGCTGTATTGCAGCAGTAGTGACACAAGATGGTGTCTAGTTTTGGTATGTTCCTCATTAACTGCGAAAGCCCTTTTCATGAGCTTATTATACCCCTGCAGTTTTGGTATTGTAACTGTGAGATATGTTTTACCACAATCACTTTGTATGTTCAGTTTTGTTTCCCAGAGCTGTACCCAGTAGATACCCAGCATTTACAAAAAAGTATAATGTAATTCCCCTTTCCTCTAAAATAACAGTTGTTATTCCCTTCCTCCCCTTAGTCTTGTTCTCTTTCACTGTACCAGCAGGAACATTATTACAGTCATTCATCTTGACACAATAAAAACATAGTTCTCTTGTCCCAGCATGCAACATCTCACTTATTGTATATACCATATGCAAAGTATAACACCTCCCAGCAAGCAAGACAGGTTTCTAGAAATGCATGGACACTTATTGTGTCATCCATAATATCTTCCTGACAGTTTCTTAAATAGTTACACTGTTCTCTATCTGAGCAGGGTTCAGATACGTGTAGGGTACTTCAAGCTGGGAGTTTCTTGATGTAATTGCTTCACTGAGGTGGGACAACTCTGCTTGAAATTTCTCAATCATCTGCTTAGGGGCAGGCTCATTGAATCGTTCCTCCGGGTATGAACCTAAGGTAACCTGTCAAAATTACAAAATAGACAATCTTTTTGACACAGTATTTTGTTAGGTAGTTTTTTAAAGCACTTTAAAATAGGGATGGTTTAAAGTGATTTTTGTTCATAATCACCAAACTTACCACATCAGTATACGCCCTTGTAAGGGCCCAAGCCAGTGCTACAGATTTCACTGTGTGACCAACATCTGGGAGGGTCTCCAAAATTGTATTCATGCTTGACTGCCCCTTAGTGGTTGGAGGAGGTTTGCTCAGCAGTAGTACGCCGTTGGGCACCCAGGAGTGGTAGTCAAACTGAATTATGGAAGAGGTGATGCTTTTAAAAAACTGAATTTGAGTTTCAAATGGTAAAACAAATGACTGATGCTGTTGTTCGTCTTTGATCCCATCCAGATGACTAGATGGGATCTTCAAATGTTTTTTTTTTTTTTGTTGATATTATTATTGTGGGGTCAGGGGCCTGGGTATCATGGAAAACCACTGTATAGAATTTGATATAATATTAATAATTACATAGAAGGTAAAACTATCTTAAAAAAATACAGTATTATATGTCCCCTGGTTTAAAACTTAGCTGATCTCCTACTGAAAGAAAAATGATGATAAAGCACTTCCCAAAACTGCTGTGTGTTCCATACATTTGAAGATCAGTCACCATCGTTTGATTATTTATCAAGTTTGTTTAAACTCCACGACGTTTTCTATTTTCCCAACTATTTATGATCTCACCTGCCCATTGTTTACTGCAGCATGTTGAGCTGTCACTGTGAAGATCACCATGGTGATGAACTTGATCACTTCGGCGACAGTCTGACACTCTGCTGGAAACCCTGTTGACAGCACAGTTGTAATAATAATAATAATAATAATAATAATAATAGTAATAGTAATAATAGTAATAATGATAATGATATAAGTCAATTATCTGCATTCATTATCTGCATTGGAAAAAATATATATATACACACATATATAGGAAGCACAAAAACTTGTGAAATTTGTGTTTGATAGATTATTTCTTTGTTGTAACAATGCTTCTTGGCAGTATATCTTATACTGTTGGAAAGCCTGTCTATCAGCTTGGACGTGCTGTTGGTGCCAGAGTGACCAACACAACCACGCTGGCTGACTTGTGACAAATGCTGGTTGAAGAATGGGATGCCATCCCACAGCAGTGTGTAACCAGGCTGGTGACCAGCATGAGGACAAGATGCCAGACTGTTTAGGTATGGTTCTTCACATGCTACTGACGCTCCTGTTTGTTACTGTAGATGAATAAACTGTTAAATTTCCAATATGTCTTGTTTCTTTAGATGTCAATCATCCAATCCACCAAACAACACCAAACAAGAGTCAACAGCAAGAAAAAAAAAGCTGTTTGGCATTGGCAGAGAAGATTTGGCAATTTTTTCATGGGCGCAACCCACATACTCAGCTCTGCTGTTCATCCCACAAATGCATGCTCCTTACAAATGTGGCACCATTTAAAAGGGAAATAAACAGGCTTTCCAGTGGTATAAGATGTATTGCCAAGAAGCACTGTTACAATAAAGAAATAATCTACCAAAAACAAATGTCCTTACTTTTTGTGCTTATTTTATATGGCTTAAGTACCTGAAGCTTTGTTTCCTAAGAAGCCATGTGTGAATATCTCACTGATCCATTCCTGCAGCTCAGTGTCTTTCAGCACCTCACTGTCTGAGGGATAATAGTACTCCACTACTGCCTTCACAAAGCTGGTGAACACAGAACAGTTTAATTATATTTATTTATTTATTTATTTTTTAAGATATTTTCAGGCATTTTAAGGCGGGCTGGAATCAAACCCCAGGCCGCTGCAGTAAAGATTTAGCCTTGATAATGGTGTGCATGCTCTGTAGGGTGAGTTGAAAAGACATAAGGACTCTAAGCCATTGTTAGTGAAATTAATCATGATAAACAATTGCAATATTTATTTAACGGTAACCTGTTGATGATGTTCCACAGCTTCAGGCCATCATCTCTGTAGTAGAAGTTGGGTATGGACTCCAGTCCTCGTGCAGTGATGTTCTCTGGCAGACAGAGGGAGCTGTAGGTTGTTTCAGAGTGAGCCCTTCTCATGAGCTCCTGCAGTCCGTCATAGCCAAGTGAACTCTAATATATCAGTAATACACAAATATTCATCTACAGACAGGTTTCTTGAAGTAGAAAAAAGTCTACATAGTAAAACAAATCAAAGGTTAAAACTAAGTTTTGCAATGGTGCAATAAAAGTGGAATAGTCTGAATATTCAGAAATGTATATTTTAAAGAGCCATACAATATTTAAAATCCCCTCTGGTGACAAAACAGTTTTGCGACTTGAAATGCCTGCGGACAGAGTGAACCGGAAGTGTGGGAACAGCAGCTGTACAGAAGGATGGAAAAAATTAAAAGTTAATTCTGGTGGTGTCAACTTCCAAAGGAAGCCATAAGCAAACAAAACTGACAAAAGGCTTTCTTTGAGGGCTTCTTGTTTTTTTTTTTTTTTTTTTTTTTTTTTTTTTAAGAGTACACCCTGATGGATTAAAAAATGTTTTCATACATCCAAGGGCAGACTTATTTAGATACAGCTGACTGCAAAAAGCCACTCTTTTATGATCCATGATTCTGGCCAAGGTAATAGAAAAAAAGGTCAATAGCAGTATGACCTCTGCTGTGTAATTTTACCTTGTAGAGGGGATGAATCACAGAAAAACTGCGGAGAGTGGCAACAGTAAAGACCTCTGCCAGAAAGTGAGTGTTCATGAGGTGCTGGACTGCTACTTGATCCATCACATCTGCATTTTTGATGAACATCTTGGCCAGCAGCCAGTCAGTCTCTGGGTCACTGGGCAGAAAGATGGGGTTCTGCTCAGAGGGTTGCTGTTGTAACTGGAATGTAAAATGATAAATGAATAAACAAATAGAAAATTAATATTGATAATAACAATAATCAGAATAGTAATATTTGTATGTGTTAAATTAGTGCAGTTCGCCTTCCCTCTGACAACACACTAATGTATGGTATACTTAGTTTTATACAGTATAGATAATGTCATTGATTTATTTGTCATTTAAATACCTGTATTGCTATTGGCATCAGTTTGTCTTCTTGGTTTAAGTACAACAAACAGAGACCAGGTGTCACATGCAGAGGTTCACCATTCTTGGCTCTCGGGGGTATTCCATCCATCTTCTTCTGGTCATAGAGGAATATGTTGCCTTTCTGTATGGCAGGAAAAGACCCAAGAAGGAAATGTTGAAGACATCAATAAGTATCACAGATTGGTAATAAATCTAGGCAATTGGATGCAGGGACTTTCCACTGTGATTTAAGTACTCTCCTTAAATGCACAAGTCATCTCAAAGCAAAGATTATGAGCTATTTAAAGCCACTCTTCTTTCATACCTCCATTTCCTTCTGCAGAGAGGTTCCCTCTGCCAGGAATGGCTTCACCATCTCCTCTGTGACTGGAAAGTTTGGGGGAAGCTCTGAGCAGCGCTTGATCACATTGGGGTTGACTCCGTTCAGAAACTGGGATCCATAAAAGTCGTCTTCATTCCAGTGCTCTGCAACGTACTCTGGAAGAACAGCAAATAGAAAATACAATATCTAAATTGTTGTTCTGTCTTTGGTTTTGAAGTACAACATGATGATCATGGGCATTTTACCCAAAACAGTATTATTTGTTGGTCACTGAAAGGTTTTTACTTTATGTAAAAATGAATTATTTTACCCAAGAGGAACATCTATATCTATGTGTTCATATGAAACCATGACAACGACATTGTTGTGATAATTTATGCAGCAGAACTGGAAAATAGGAAAAAAAATCTACCTGACATTGTCGTCTTTTTGCGCCAGAGGATTTTTTTCATGTCTTCAAAGTTTTTCCATTTTTCATTAGATCCAACCATCCCCTTCAACTTCAGTTCAAGACCGCTGAAGTAAGAAAAAAAGGGTTAAACATGACACAGGATTAAACAACACACTTAATAATACACACTAATAATAATTCAATACAATACTTAATACCTAAAATGTACTTTGTGCCTCAAAACATAGAAAGTATGGCTCCATCATATATCTATCTATCTATCTATCTATCTATCTATCTATCTATATATAAACCCACATCATTAATTTCGTATTATATAGTTCAGTTGATTTGGATTTAGAGTAGCCGATTTCATTTGCTGGGAGCTCAGACGGATCATCAAAATGGATCACGTGGGGTAGTCTTTCATCCAAAATCTTCCATCTAAAAAAAATTAAAAAAAATAAAAATTTACCAAAATGCACATTGACAATTTCTCCAGATAAATTTCTGAGATCTTAACAGCAGTTCTATGTACATGCTGTACTGCACACGTTAAAACTTACTGGTACAAGCTCTTTTTATGTATCAGCTCTTTTTTCCGGTGGTCAATCAACAGGGGATGGTCCTCCTCACAACCCTTCATGGCTGAGGCGTCAAAAGAACATAACAGACGGAAAAATCATGAAACTTACAAAAATGTCAGTAAACAGTGTGCAAAGAAATTATATCAATGAGTGATATCCATAAATCTTCATATTAATGATGTACATATCAATTATTTGGGGGCTTTGAGGCAGACCTTTCCCTCCCCTCAGCTCCACCAGTTCTCCTCTGGAGATCCATCTGTAACAGGGGAAAAGAATGGCTTCTCCTTCTGGAGTCGTCACCACTACTTTGGAGAAGTACCACTCATCTTCTGGGAGAATCAAAAAAGGGTCTTTCTCCATCTTGACCAGCAGAAGTTTCCCCAGAGATGAACTGGTTTTTACGGTGTAGATGCCTGTCTTGATTTAAGGATAAATATAAACATAAACAAAGAAATACAATATGGTAGGGCTGTACCAAATAATTTGAAGCTTCAAAGCTTCATTCATGGTGATATTCAAATTCAGAATCAACATATAAATGCTTTGCTAATTTTTTTTTGTCTCTTTATTCTGTTAAACCCGTACTTCTGCACAGTTGTAGATAAATATTAGACTACAATAATATGAAAAGTATTATACTATTTGTAGAATTGGATTCCAATGGTGGGATTGTTTCCAGCTTATGTGACCCAAACATTTGTAGAGTGTTGTTGAATCCAAAATTCAAAATTTATTGAAAAAAGAGTAATGTAAAACTTTTCAAAATTAACATGCCTTTGACTGTCATATATGAATCTTATATTACATATTACATATAACTATTACAGTACTTTTTTTAATTCAGAAATTGAAGGAACTGGCAGGATTTTACTAAAATGGTAATTTACATGATTTCATGTGACAAATACATTGACTGATTAATAATGAAATGAAAAATGAAATGAAAATTCAGCTTAAACCCATATTTGTTGGCAGTTAGCGGGGAGATTTAGCAGCACCGTATATTACATTTTTTGATAAAGCTACAGTTGTTAACTTTTTACAAAATAACCTTTTTTCGTATTTGCTGAAACTGTCACTATATTCACACAGCACTAAATGAGACAGATAATCATTGAAAAAAAACACTCATCTGCCTACTGTATTGCCTTGAAGTGAACAAAAACAACCAATCAGAGCTGACAAGTCTATAACACAGCTTCTAATCGTGTCAATCACTGCTCATGAACTGTGGTCAAACTGTCAAACCAGGCAGTGCTGATCACATATAAATCAAGACTTTGTTAGTGCATTGCCAATTTCTCACCTCAAATGTTTTCTGAAACATATTTCAGTGTACTGTTTAGCTGCAAACTGAGTAATTTTGTGACCCAGCGGCCATGTTGGACACAGTTAAACAGAGTGCAGAGCACATTTCTCATTTTACTGTTTTGATGAGAAACAAAGAACCATAGATAAAGTTAAAAAAATGAGTGCCGATGCTTTTTGTAGATTGTCTTCTCATGTGTCACGTCTGGTTTTGCTTCCTGTCTTTGTGTGTTTTTTTTCAATATTTTTATCACACCTGTCTTCCTTCAGTCTCATTGGTCCTTCCTTGTTCCCAGAGTCTCCCTTCACACCTGTTATGTTTTAGTCTTGTTTGCTCCACTCAATCTTGCCAACCACACCCTTGTTGCAAGCCAATCCCCATTTCCCTCCTTTGGCCCATATCCACCTATTCCAACTGTATCTCGTTCTTTTGGTTAGTTTTGTGCGTATATATACCTGTGTGTTCCCCTTTGCTCATGGTCAGTTTGGCTGCATTCATTTCTGTTCATTCCTGATCTTGGGACGTAACCATCTAGCTCGTTAAAAGATGGCTGCAAAAAAAGTGAAATGCTATCCCGTTTTCTAGCCAGTTGAGGTGACTGCTAAGTATAATTGCAGGATCATGTCTTCCCTAAGGTTAAAATCCAAGTAACCACAGTCCACTAAGTAACCACATATTGTTTGGTGTTTTATCTCCTCTTTAAGCTATAGACTAAAGACATTATACATAATTTAACATTAGTGAAAATGTGCTGTTCTACAAGAAGGTGTGTTCAGAAATGTTATGCTAAATGGCAAAACATTGAATTTCCCCTCAGGGGGATTAATAAAGTAAATAAACTTAAACTTAACTTAAACTTAAACATTTTTATCCTATATAGAAAAAATTGACGCCACTGATAATGCAGTTTTGTACTACTGACTCCATATTATATTTAGTTTACTGATTTGTTTATGTGTAACTTTTAAATTTTATTTGTAGTTTTTGTATGCTGTTCATATACAGGGTTCCCGCAGATCCTCAAGTCTTAAAAGGTATTGAATTCATTAATCTAAAAATAAGGTCTTAATTGGCATTAAAATGTCTTAAATCAATCTTTCAAAAGTCTTAAAAATGTTAACACAAGGTAAGTAGGATTTTATGATTACAATTAGTCTCAAATCTAAAAATAACAGGTAACATTTATTTTTTTAAAATAATTTGCCGAATAGCAGTAACATCACGCAATCACAAGAGCGGAACCAACAAAACAGTGATGTGTTTGCGGCCATGACTCTCAGAGCAGATGCACGTCATTCATGTAGCAGTCGGACCACATGGGGTAGTTTAAATTTAATGAAAATTGGCTGTCCAACAAAGATTTTTCTGGATTGCTGAAACCAGTACTAGGCAATTTATACGAGGCACGATGTATTTTGTGCAAGAAATGTTTCAAAATCGGCACGATGGGAATCAAGGCAGTGGAGTCCCACATGCACAGTGCGAAACACAAAGCCTCAAAATCAAGCTGTCAACAAACGCCAGGTATTTCACGGTTCTGTTCTACTCTTGTCTCAACCGTGCCTCCACCCCCATCTCCGATATCACAACCAGGACAGCAGCACCAAATCTCTGGACAATGTTCGGGTGCACGCCTACGCTAAAAGTAGAGGTACTGTGGTGTCTGAACACCGTGACAAAACACCAATCACACTAGGGCTGTCAAAAGCACCATGAAATTGATTTTGAATATTTTCGAATCAATTATTTTTTTTTATTTATTTATTTATTTTACAAAAAAAAACACAAAAAAATAAGATGCTTATTGCTGGCGCAATATGAACGTGACACTCGGATGAAAACACCCATTCTGACCTCACTGAAGTGCCAGGTATGACCAACTTCTGCCTTGCTATCTGAGCAATGTTTGGATACTATAGTGCGTGCACCACAAGAGTGGATCCTGGTCGGCTCGTAGTGGTGTCTCATTCTGGTAACGTTTCATCTCTAATTCAAAAAGGGTAGGCAGGGAGGCAGCAGGTGCAACACTCTTTCTGTATGTCTCCCTGAACAGGTCACACATCGCGGACAGCGCAGTGGGTGGTGTTGGCGCAGCGGGCTCCTCCGTCGGCGCGTCTCCCTCCCTCGCTGCGTCCCTCTCTGGCCCGGCTTGTACGCGACCCATCTCCGCCCGAACGGGATTTGCCGTGATATACAACATTATTGATAGTATTAATTAATTATTAACGTACAAATTTAGGTTCAAACCTATAAAATATATATATATATTTGAATATATTTCGAACTTCGAATTTTTTTTTTTTTGACAGCCCTAAATCACACAAATCAGATAAGATAGTTTTTTCATTTGTGTTGATTCAGTCGTTGGTTTTAAATTTCATTTCAAGTGGCATTTTCCCGATCGATTCGATTCAATTTTCAAGGACTCAGTTCGATCCGATTCACGATTCTCGATTCGATTCAATTCAATTCAGTTCAATATCGATTCAGTCAAGTATATTTCAATTATGATACAAAATTTGCTTGGATATTAAGATATTTTCTGAGAACTAATGAAGTATATTTAACAAGGAACCCTCTGACCTGGTGCATTACTATTAAAAATACTGTTTACATTAAGAATTGACAAAAGCAGTACATTAGTCATCATGTACTTTTATTTAACATTACCTGACACATACAAAATAAATATTTTAAATTAAATCTAATCACAAGGCATACAATTTAAATGAAGTGGCTACAAAAAATGTAAACAAAGGACATCCACAAGTTTGCTGCCTGTAACTGTCTTAGAAAGCTTTTGTGCAATACACTACAGTGGTTGTGATGCACACATGGACTGTATCAGAAGAGAAACAATATACGTAGGTGAACCCTGCAGCAAAGTGAACCCTCTTCTTCAGAGAGGATCTTTGCCTCCCAGTTTGTTCCTGGCGGCAGAGCAGAGTGAACCATATTTCTTCTCAGAGGATCTTTGTCCCATGAAAGCAGGCAAGCTGATCTCAGTGTCTGTGTAAACAAAATTCGCTGGCGATTTGACAGTCACTGGAAGCACATTATGACCCTTGGTAAAAGTTTCTGTGTGGTGCCTGTGTTGTACATGAGCTAACGTTAGTGGCTAAGGACAGAGAGGCTGTCCGGTGTGTGTCTGAGTGTCTGAGGAGCGTCAGTACGTTAGCTTGTTAGCCGTAACGTTAGCCTTGTTGTTTGTCATGTTAACGTTGTCGTCGGCAGCCCTGAATAGCTTGTAAAGCTTTAGCATAGCTTGTTAACACATTTCTTATCGGCCCATGTGTTTACTGATACAGAGAATTAATAAATCTTTGGTTTATTTGCACAACGTCGCCTCTCTGCCGTCTTTTATCACGCTTGCTAACGCTAAGTTAACTTTACCAGCAGATCTGTATGAGGCAGAGACTGAGGCGACAGTTAGCAGTGTGCTGATGCTTAGTGGTATTTCTTAATCTTTTTCTGTGAAACTGATGTGCATTTATTAAACATGCGTACATTATTAGCGTTATATTTATAGGGGAAAATGCGAGTGAAAATACTCGCACCGTAGACCCATGCCATCAGTGGATGCGCTCCCACCACTGTTTGCTGCTCTGTCTTCAGTGTCCGGCCGTCTCGCGAGATCTCTCGCCATGACCTCAGGTGCTAAATGCTGATCTCGCGAGGCTACCTGGGTTGATAGTACTGCAGGCTGCTGCAGTCTGCTACTGGCTGTACAACACGTCCACGGAGGAAAATAGTTATAGTAAAAGATCGACTTTTTAATTAATGAATCGATTTTGTGCCATTTAAAGGAAAATCGATTAAAATCGATTAAATCGATTTTTTCAACCCAGCTCCAATAAAAGTTCAAACAATATTAGTGAACATAAGCTACTCTCTCAAAGCCATAAACCAGAGAAATCTCAAATTTGTGATGTCATGGTATAATGTCTTGAGCTGCTCTGTAGACAGTGAATGGGAGCCTGATTTTGTGGATCTGTAGAATTGTTGTTTCCTCCGTTTTTTTTATACCCAAATGAGCTTTATCCTATTGTAGTGTTCTCAGTTCTGAAACAGAAAATAGTTTCTGCTGTGATCTGTGTGAAATGTGAGATGATCACTAAATTTCCACACGATTATGCTATGTCTTGTTAAGAGTAGTAAATAAAAAAAGCTACACGTGATGTACTCTATTTAGTCACTAGATAGAGACAAATATGAGTCCAACATAAATGTTTGCACAAACAGAAGGTGTTACATAATCCCAGACTTAATGTAAGAAATCACCATATGAGTGATGTTTAACTGGATTTAACTTACTGTCCCAGTTGAAAAGTCAGTGCCAAAGTTGTCCAACTTAGTTCTCTCACTCTGCCCTTCAGCTCCAATTAAGGTGACATATATGTTGTCCCATGTTCCTGCATATTGCATGTCACCTGTTGTCACCTCTAGCTTGTACTCAGCCATGGTCACTCTGTGGAAACTGTCTGGAAAAAGAAACAAGATAAAATCTTAAAACTGCAGAGTGAATGTTCCAACACTCTGCAAAAGAAAGCTGTTTTTATTTGCAGATAATTAATTCAAGGAAAGCCCTGGATATTTTTTCTATGCTCAAAATATTTGTCCACGGGCATCCAAAAAGCTTGTTAACACTTAACTTTGCCTATTAGTATCTTGCATACATTATGACATGTAAAGTGTTTTGATCATTAATTGTCATACCATGAGGAAAGATGAGGAAAGTTCTTACCTGTACCCTCAGACAGAGGCTGTTTTTACTACCTCTTTGTCTTACAGCTGCAGATTCAGGTTTTCTCTCTCTGTGGTCTGTGTTCTACTCCCCCCACTGTGGTTTGATATAAAGGGTGATGTATCTTTGGGAAGGATCAGCAGTCGTACTTAACCACCCATTTTGGTCACAGGCCAAAAACCACAAAAAAAAACAAACTAAAATACACCTCAGTGAATATCAGTTCTGTGTGATGAATCAGTCACATGGTCAGGAGTGTGAGTGCAAAGCAAACAGTGAAGGACCTAAAGGCATGTAGTCGGGGCAGGCAGGAAGGGTTGGGTGATTTTTTTTGGCAAAAAAATTAAGAGGCGTACTGGCAAGGATAGCAAGTCTGAACAGAGTTAACTGAGGTTCCATGGAAAACAGGAATTCAGACACTGAAACTGAGCAGACAGACAGTAGAAAGGTGTATTTATAATGTGCCAGCACTCACTCATATAAATGTCATACACTCAACATAGTGTAGAGCCCAGACTGTACACAAATATCACACACCAACTGTTCAGCTACTTCTTCATCTTATTGTGTATACTGTAATCGAAGTATCTGAATACTAAGACATGTCTATGGTTAAGGTTCTGAAAACACAGATATGAACTCTGACGAAGGAATCAGAGCCAGAGCAGTTGAAATCAATTGACTGTTTACTTGGTAAAGAGTTCAAAGCAGGTCAACATGAGACACAGAACTTTATGGGTTCCACAGAATGTTAGTGTTGTTAACTCAACTTTTCCCAAACTTTAATTTTGTTTCCCAGTACTGGACCCTGTAGATGACCAGTATTAACAAAAAGAATATAATTTATTTTGTCTTTACTCTGAAATGTCCTGTTGCTTCTCCCTTGCTCCCCATAGTCTTGTTTTCTTCCACTGCGCAGACATTCAAGTACCAGTAGGAACATGTATGGTTTCTTTTTATTTTTTGTATCTCATTTGTGCAATAACATGTCAACTACTCATTGTGAGTAACCTGTTCTTGATGCACAAGCACCTGAGGGCCTGGAGAGTGCAGATGATTTGAAAATGTGCTGTCCTGGTTCCACTCTAACTGACTACACCACTTGCTACCTGGTACTGCTGGTTGTTTTGATAGTTATGGTCTCAGTTTTTTTCTTCACGTGTGTGAATTTCAGAGGACTGACTCAGTCATGCCCACTCTAAATGTGTTGCTTCGATGGGAAAAGCTTGTACTTTGGCTCAGGTTGTGCTGACTTTTATATCTATTTTTTATAAGTGTGCAACACACACTGAATGACATCATCAATTTGATCATCAAATAAAGCAAATTAAAAATTCAGATTGGTGAAGCTTGCCCCTGCAAAAGTACATCAGCTGACATCACAATACACATTGTTCTGCACTCACATGATTTTTTTCATGACATTTGCTACCCCAACTGCTCATTTGTTATTTCATTTGTTATTTCTCAACATATGTCTATGTAACTCACACAAAGATACAGGTGCCCAACCATAGACCCACTAACATGATACAACCTAGAATATAGCCTTCCAGAGTTAAACTGACAACACCGCATGCAATACAGGTGTTAAAAAGGTATTGATATTGTTCACTAATGCAGAAAGATAAAAAGAAAATGAAACAAAAGGCTTTATCAGGCTTAGTTAGATAGTTATACTGTTCTCCACAACAGCAGGGTTCAGATATGTGTAGGGTACTTCAAGCTGTGAGTTTCTTGTTGTGATTTCTTTACTGAGGCGGGACAACTCTGCTTGAAATTCCTTCATCATCTGCTTAGGGGCAGGCTCATTGAATCGTTCATCCAGGTATGAACCCAAGGTAACCTGCCAATTACAAAGCAAAACAGTAGATCACATTAACACAGTTCTTTGTCAGTACAATTATTTTTGAAGTGCTTTCAAAATGTGGATGGGTTATAGTGATTTTGTTCATAATCACCAAACTTACCACATCAGTATACGTCTTTGTAAGGGCCCATGCCAGTGCTACAAATTTCACTGTCTCGCCAACATCTGGGAGGGTCTCCAAAATTGTCCTCATGCTTGACTGCGGTTGGTGGAGGTTTGCTCAGCAGTAGTACGCCATTGGGGATCCAGGAGTGGTAGTCAAACTGAATTATAAAAGAAGTTTCAGTATGTATTACTATTTATTTTTCCCTCACTCAAAAATGGGTTTTTCTTATGGGTAGCCGGCAAGTCCTCCAACTTAAATGGCAAAATATGTTGGTTGTCCATGCTCTCTAGAATGACAGATAGAGTTTTAGGTTAAAATGTTAAATCTTGCAAGATTAAGGTTACGGGACCTTTGTTGTCAGAGTCATAATAAGCGTGTGGTTTAGGTTATGGAACGATTGTGGTGTTATGTTAAAATAAAATCAACAAACTGTTAGTTAGAAATGGGGAAACAAACTTCTTCCTTTATATGTCAGGGGGAAACTTGGTATTATTTTTGCAGGGTCATGGACCAGTCTTCCATGGAAAAGCACTTTGTGGAAACGGATATATTAACACATAAAACACATAGCCTAACCCATAAAATAGAACTTAACACTGCATAAGAAATGCAGTCTGTGCACTGGTTTAAAACTCAGTTTCTCAAAACTGCTGCTTTCCCCACTCATTTGTGTTTGATCAGTTATCAAGGTTGTTCAACTTCATGAAGTTTACTATTTTCCCAACTATTTATGGTCTCACCTGCCCATTGTTTACTGCAGCATGTTGAGCTATCACTGTGAAGATCACCATGGTGATGAACTTGATCACTTCCGCAACAGTATGAAACTCTGCTAGAAACCCTGTTGACAGCACAGTCATAATAAGTCAATTATCGGCATTCACTATCTGCACTAAGAAATTTGAAATGAAAATTGTGTTTACATGTGACTTCCAAACATGGGTTAATTACCTGAAGCTTTGTTTCCCAAGAAGCCATGTGTGAATATCTCACTGATCCAATCCTGCAGCTCAGTGTCTTTCAGCACCTCACTGTCTGAGGGATAATAGTACTCCACTACTGCCTTCACAAAGCTGGTGAACACAGAACAATTTGATTTTAAATAGTTACATATGTACATGGAAAATGACTCTAAGCCATTGTTTGTAAAATAAATCATGAGAGACGGTTGCAATATCCATTTAAAGGTAACCTGTTGATGATGTTCCACAGCTTCAGGCCATCATCTCTGTAGTAGAAGTTGGGTATGGACTCCAGTCCTCGTGCAGTGATGTTCTCTGGCAGACAGAGGGAGCTGTAGGTTGTTTCAGAGTGAGCCCTTCTCATGAGCTCCAGCAGTCCGTCATAGCCAAGTGTAGTCTATCAAGTTCATGATCAACAAATATTTGCCATCAGACACATTTGTTAAAAAAGCCTACATTTAAGGCTTAAATATAGTTTTGTAGTGGTGCAATAATATTGGAATCTGAACATTCAGAAGTGTATATTTAAAAGAGCCATACTATTTTTAAAACCCCTTCTGGTCCAAAAAGATTTGCGCGGGCTCCAGTGTTCAAGTCTAGAGTGCACCGGAAGTGTGGAAACAACAGCTGTACAGACAGAGGCAAGAATAGTAAAAGTCTAAGTCAAGTGTGTGTTGATCAGCAAAGGAAGCCATACACAAAAAGAAAAAGACAAACAAACAACAACAGAGCTAACTAGTTCAAATAAATGCTGGAGAGAATATGGACCACAATAATTGGCAATTGGCATTGACTATAACCTAATCAGGCCTCTCAGGTCACCAGGCAGAGGTTTTCTAATTGTACCCAGAATTGATCTATGGCTAAGCCCTGCCCTCAAACGCCATGAGCCAATCACAGTGCGTATAGCCACTCCCATACACTTGGACATTCTCTACCTGGACATTCATTGAAATGCATTACAGAAAGTCAGTTTTGTTCAGTTTTATGAGCTTTTTCGGAGATTTGAAGTTTAAAAATGGTCAAACGGTGTGCATGGGGTACATGCAACTCTGACACAAGGTATCCTGAGAGGCTGGGCGACGAGGTGTAATTTTTACACTTTAAACCACAGAAAAGTGTCTCCTTTGGATAAAGTTGTGTGGTAACGTTAGACCACAACATCAACTCAACGTGAATAAGATTAATAAGGATGTCTACATCTGTTTTAAGGTAAGTCAACATTGTGTTTGAGGACACATATTGTCATTTTGCTAGAGAGAAAGTTATCTTTAACATCTCTAGCTAAAGTTAGCCTAACGTTAGCTCCTAGCTGCGTTGTTCATCGTGTCACCTTGTTTGCTGGGAGTTCATTAGCCTATTTTGTTCTAGTTTTGTACTTTGGTGATCGTACATCATTGTTAGCTGTTGTCCAAAGGGCTCTAGTTAAGCTAATGTTAACTTCTGGAGCTTAGCTTCATTAATTTATCTGTAATCGCAGAGATAACAAAGGTTGGCAAACGTTAAGCTGAATGATTCAATGTAAATACTGTAGCACCAAACTAATGGAGAGACACTCTTGGTAAAGATGGTAAAAAAGGCTGTTATCCTTTTCGCAGATTCTGAGCCAAAAACCTTAACTTCAGTGGCACTTAAACTTGTTGTCTTTGATGGTGACAGCAACGAGATGCGGTACACAAGCGTACACTGTGACCTGTAAATTCTGGCCTGTAATTTAAGCTTTTCGTCGACCTTCTCAACAATAAAATGATTAATATATCCCTCCAATGCGTAGTTTAGGCCCTTTTGGTTACTTCTCAATGACATCTGATCGTTACGTCCCCAAAAAACATCAATTGCCTCCTGCGAAATGCCGTGTACTGTGACACCTGCCATAGCACCGGTCACTGAATGTTGATAGTTTGTTTGAGTGAGTGGAGGGGGGCATGGCGTAGCCATAGGTCAATTAGATTCAGGTCTTGTGAGGGTGCCTCTAGTTTAGTGGTCCTGAAACAAACTGCCTACTGACTTGAGGTCCAGCACAACTATGACCACATTTAAAAGCAAACTCAAAACTTTCTTATTTTTGCAGGCTTATGGTTAATTAGCGCGTTTCTCTCTCTGCTCTACTATCAGCTCTATGATAAAGACAGCACATGCCCCCA